CTAATGGCACGTATGAGCAGGCGGAGAGAGCGTTCGCAGATTTTGACGGAGCACATTGCCCATCCGAGGTTGACCTGGAGGAGTCGTTCTTTATGCCCTCGTTCTCCAACGGACCATCAATGGATGCCCCCTTCCTACGACCTTTTGACCCTGCCCCATCGAGGATGCAAGAGGAGCCAGGCTATTCGAAACCTACCATATCCAGACCAATTGCTCCACCAACCGTTAGGCCAAAGTCGTACATGGATCCCGAAACAGGCCAGACTATGCTCTATTACCCAGCGCGTGTTCCTTTAATGCTCAACCTGCCACAAAAGCTCTCTAAGAAGCCAAAAGCTGAAGCACGGGAGGCTCGTAGATCGCAGGTCCTGAGCAAAATGTCGGAATCGGACCGCAAAGCTGGCACCCTTTGGCTACCAGAGTATTTGCCTGAACCTCCGTTGGAACCCGTGGATCCTACCGCCGATTCTTTCGTCCCTGTGCCGCTGACTAGTTCGGATGCAGACCCGCAAACCCAACCGGGTACAAATGGCCAACGTGATTCTCAACCTCCCCCCCAGTCCGGCTACGGACAAGGGTATGATGAAGTACATGGGCCTCGTACATCGACTCTTGATCCAGACAAGCGGAAGTCAAAGATACCTAATCTCGACGGTTTACCACCACAACTACGTGCTAGTGCTTTTTTCGACCTACCTTCCGAGCCATCACCCACTATCCAACTTAAAGATGGCTCTGCAATGGCCACCCTGGACAGTATTCTAGATGCTTCTGCTAAGGCGCCTGTTTCTGCTTTTACGGATCACGCGTTCGCAGGAACGTTGGGATCAGAGGTATACGGTACAGAAAAGAAACGCAAGTCACATATAAAACGTGCTAGCGCTACCGATTTATTAGAGCCTAAGAAGCGAAGCTCCTTCTTACACCTCCGAAAGCTGAGTGCTCTTAGCCGACATTCAGAATCTCAGGAGGAACGCCAAAATACCATCGCTGGAGGCACGAAGATCAATGAGGGTCTGGACGCCAAAGCAGAAGACGAGGAAAGAGAACGCTTAGCTGGTTCTATTGACGGCGAAGCGGTACCTAATCACGCCGATGAAGATGGAGAAGGTGACGAGGAACTAGTATATAATGGACCCCCGACGACTTTATTGGCCGAGCTCCAGATGCGAAAGCGGCAACAGAAATTACGCACTCGACCGGCTGCTACTGCTTTCCCTAACGGCTTACACTCCACACTACTCGAGATTGATACGGTCGCTCAGATCGAAAGTGACGCACGTAAAGGCAAGAAAGTAAATCTTGCCTGGGAAGATCCAAGCGCGGATCCAGCTGCCAATTCGGATGACGAAGATACGCCGTTAGGACTGCTTATGGCCGTGAAAGGGCAAGGTAATGATATAACGGCCGCGATCGCTGAGATCAATCGGCCCCTCGGTTTGATGGAACAGCGTGAGTTGGAAGATAATGAACCCTTAAGTCAACGTCGTGACCGACTCCAAGGGAGAGAGATCGGCTCAATGAAACGGCAAAGCGTGATGACACTTAGTCAGAGTCTCCATAACAAGAGTAATAGTTTAAGAGCCGCAAGCCCACAACTCCGTTTGCACACTCCCGAGGAAGAGGAGGTTGAAGGTGAAACTCTCGGTGAGCGTATGCGGCGTCTAAGATCGCGTGAGCAAACGGACAATCCTCTTCCTCAAGCTAGACCCGTTAGTTCTGCATTTTCAATGGAACTTTTGGGCCATCTAGGCGAAGCGTTTAAGGAGGATGAAAGCGACGACAAGGGCCAGGATAAGCGAAAATCTCAGCTCAAGGAGGAAGAGGAGACACTAGGACAGCGCCGCCGCCGCCTGCAAGCAGAACGAGAAGCTCGCGAACAAGGGACAGCTAGCAACTTGCTGCTTAGTGGTGAGGTTGGGAACGCAGAAAAACTTAGGAACCGGCATTCGCTTGCTGACGTGCTTGGCACGCGCGGGTCGAAGACTCTCCTACGTGATCCTAGGGCAGAGGCAGAGAAAGCAAAGAAACAAGAAGCTGCCCGATACAGACAAGATCAGGAGCAGAAGATGGCCATACTTCGTGGCCAGATGCCTTCTAGTCTTAGCACACCAAACTTAAATCAACCCGGGGGGTATATGTCTGGTCGATTCAACGACGGTACAGGTGGCGGAACTGGTTATGCACGAACCAGCACAGCTTTAGGTGTATATCCTAATCAAAGTATGGGAGCAAGCGGCGGTAAGATGGGCGGCAACTACCTTGCGGGTGCAACTATGAGTGGCGCGATACCCCCCTATGGTATTGCCAACGGGCTTGGTGCCAAAGTGAGCACCCCTTACGGGATGCAAATACAGCCACCCGCCCAAATGGATAGGGTAGAGCGATGGAGACAGAGCGTTTTGCCTTAGGGGTCCTTCTTGCCGTAGGACCCCGGATACTCTACAACACTGAACAGTAAAGCAAAACTGGGTTGTACTCACTTGATTCTCCTAAGCATCGCACCGGCGTTTCACAACTGGTCTTAATGGGGTATATTGTATTATGCATGGGAGGCAGCATTGGTGTTCGAAGGTATTCGAAAGGGGGCATAGGTATATATAGTTATATGTAATGTTTAGGTTGTGGTAAACAGTAGTAAATACAGTTGGACCCGAGGCTAGGGCGGCGGCAGAGCGATGCATACACCTGATATATATATTGACACCGAGATGGACATTATTCGTTTAGATACAAATGGTTATAGCCTGATAGAATTAATTTGAGCGTCGAGTTAAACAGTATGTGGCTTATGCTCTTTAAGTAGCAACCGCAATAAGGGGACGGATGCCGCCAGGAGACACTAGATAGTGATGTTTTCATGGATTTTTTTACCTCTTCTTTCCTTTCGTTTTCCGAGTTAACTATCTAGGTACCTAGGTAGTATATATAAGTACCCAACGTGGGGTATTTCGAATCTTTAAGTAAGTAATGCCGGACGGGATTTCGTCTGAATAGTAGCGTGAAGAATTGGTATGGTCATCTCGGGGAAATTTTTTAAGGGACTTCCGTAAATAGGAGTTGATGAGGTATTAAAGCCATTGGAGGAAGGGAAGCGTATTGGCTTAACTGGGCTTTCTGCGACGTGGTAGGCGAAAGGGACGACTCGCGCGTTTCGAGCCCAAGTCGTCGAGTCGTGGTGTAAAGGTATTTCCTTCGTATCATTACCTATACTATGTAAGTAGATACTTCATACTTGTTAACATAATAGTGGAGTTGGACGTGTGACTTTAACATAACAGGTGTTTTGAGGCGTGACAGTTCTTCGTATGACAAGAGTGGCAATGAGGGTCCTGGAACTTACCTGTCGTTGATATCTGTCCAGCCTCATGGCATGGCCGAATGAACAGAGTCGAAACTGGGAGCATGACTTGCAAAAACCGGCGATATTATCAATAAGTCATTCTATGGACATTAAGTAATACGTACGGACAAGCTTGTCCGGCTACAAGGTCCCTTCACGAAAGCGAGTCATGTATATTCCTCTTTTACTCCGAACTATCGTGATACCTGGCTGATAAACCAACCGACTCAAAATTAAGGTAAGCCTCGCAATTATACGTAGATATATAATATGCGAGCCTCTATATGTGACTGGCGAGCGAGTCTTTTATGTCTCTTAATTAATAATATCGTTGCTGGATTTGAGGTTCCGGACTCCTGTTCTACTCACCCTAGATCCAAAAAGGGGCCTGAAAAGGGGGTACAGACAACCTTAGAACGCGTGGGCCAATTACACTCCAGAGTGACTCAGAACTAGTGTTATAGTTAAATCTGTCGTGAATCCGAGACTGAATGGGCCCGAGCTGTCACATAAAGTTCGAGTCTATTAGCACGGCCCGTTAACTCTAAGTGCTTTTTCGGCGTCGTGCCCTGAGCTATTTAGGGATTTTTACGTACTCGCTGATGAATCTCTGTCAACCAAGGTGGCAGATATGACGCCGGCCAAGTCCGATGGATACTAACATCCCCGACGTCCTCACCATCGTACCTACGCTATGTTAGTCTAGTTGTCTTAGTCACCACGTGCGACTGAATCGTACGTAACCAAATCTTGGAAAATATTTTCAAGCCACACAGCCTGGACGCTCCGACATTCTTGAAATATTATCTGTAACTACAGAGTTTTAGAACGTAGTTTCTTTCGACCTACCTAACTTAGCTCAGGAGCTTCGATAATCTTCAACGTAAGTCTACGCCACAGAATACTATATGAAACTTGGGGCACAGTAGTGTATTCGATATTCGGAGGGAGAGCTCCTTATGCCCACCTGCATATTATCCTCTTGACTGGCACAAAACAACAAACCCTTTATAATCGGTAGAGTCCGTGAATTTCAAAAATTTCAACGCGATTCATTAACATAAAAGAAAAACTTGCAATATGCCTCTATAAAAGGAAAGGTATGTATTTTGACTATCCGGTCAGTCGAACGCAGCATTCTCGTACCTGACGTCGGGTTGCGCTAGTATGAAGTGCATACGATTAATGTTGGCCCCATGATCTTGATGGAAACGGGTTTGATATGCTACGTGTGCCCTCAACAACATGAGACCTTATTCATTTCACGAAGAGGCACCTGAGTAAGTACGAGAGGAACGGCTGTGCCGACGACTGGAATGCTTCCCGCAGCCTTGACGGGGTCCCAGCCTCTAATGTCATCATCAAGTAACTACATACTTTTCCATGGCGGTTTGACTCATAGTATAGTTTTGTTCCCGTCTGATCTCGACGCCTCCTCAAAAATGTATATAAGTGCTCGGACTTCTCCCAGTTGTTGGGTCTAATCGTCTCTGCCATCCCTAGCATTCATAAGAGAGCTATCTGGCTTCTCCATATAGTATCTTTTTCTAAAGAAGCACATCTATCCCACCTCGCTGCCTCTCATTTCTGAAATACTACAGCGGTTGGCTGTCCTGCAAAGACTAATACTATAGTTTCATCACCTTATTTAACTCTTGCCAAGACCAAAATGCTCCCACGTTTGCTCCTAGCTACTTCCTTCCTATGGGTCTCCAAGGCCCTCGCTGGCTTCCAAGCTGGTACATCAGACAACATCGCCATCTACTGGGGGCAGAACTCGGCTGGTGTCTCCGACGCTGGCAAATCCCAGCTGTCACTCTCCGAATACTGCAAAAACGCCGAAATTGACATCATTCCTGTGGCCTTCCTAGCCAACTTAAACCCCATACAGGTGGATTTGACGAATATGATCGATTCTAACATGGCTGAGGAGATCACCACATGCCAGAAGGCTGGCAAGACCATATTGCTATCTATCGGTGGAGCTACGTTCACTTCGGCGCCTTCGAGCCCGCAAGATGCGCAATCTCTGGCCGACCAGATCTGGGGAATGTTTGGCCCTCCTGGCAATGGCAACGGTGTTAATCGCCCCTTTGGTGACGCAGTTGTCGATGGCTTCGATCTCGACATCGAAGCGCCGCTCCAGAACATGGCACCTTTCGCCGCACGATTGCGCGAGAACATTGATAAGGCCAACGCTGCTGGTAATCGGAAGTTCTATCTCTCTGCGGCGCCTCAGTGCCCATTTCCAGACATGAACAACCTGGCCCTGATGCAGGGCGACGCGGCCGTAGCCTTCGACTTCGTCATGGTGCAGTTCTACAATAACCCCAAATGCGACATCCGGGTCTTCACCGGCGCCCCCGGTTCCGGTTCCGGTTCCGTCTCAGCACGGGACACAAATGACCCGACGAAGACAGGCTTCAACATGGCTGTGTGGGACGAGTGGGCGCGCACAAGCAAGAACCCCAACACTAAGATATTCCTCGGCATTCCGGGTGGTCCCACGGCCGTGAGCCCGTCCGAGAAGGCATCGTACAAAGCGCCGCAAGCCCTGGGCCCCATCATCGCCTACAGCAAGCAATTCTCGAGCTTTGGCGGGGTTATGATCTGGGACATGTCTCAAGTCTGGGCCAACCCCAACTTCCTAGATACCGTCTCCAAGGAGCTCAAGTGCCCACCCAAGGGGAATGCTGCGCGACGATCTACTAGTGCGGCTGCGCATGCGCATGCGTTACGACGAGCGCATCAACGGGAGTGGCGGGCATGACTGTCTAGCTTCTATTAGATTTATTTTCATTTAATTTTGATTTTGATGGGTATAGGGGTTGGGAATTCTTGTTTAGGGATGCATTCGGTAGGAGCTCAAAAGGCGACGATTCAACTGAAGATAACCTAGGGAGTCCCGGGGGTTTCCTGCTGTGCATACATTTGTATTATACCTACAGGTTGGGGTTAAAGGGGAGTTTCATTCTGGCTAGGTTCGGGAGAGTTGGAATAGTTCCCCATAGATACCCCCCAATTCCGCCCACGAGAAGCGTACTAGGTAGATTTTATCATATAGTTTAATTGATTTTCTTGCTTAATACGTTGATACTAGGCTTATACGAATGTTTTATTTTGAAATGTTCTGAAGAGCTGCCTCTCCCCTTTTTACTTTTTAATTTATTTTTATTTTTATTTTTTATTTTGTGTGTGTGGGTGGGAAGGTGGGTGAGTAGAAAACGACAAGCTCTCGGTCTATCGTCGAATCCGCATGCACGGTCGTGTCTCAAACATTCTCTACGCTTTGTCCTCTATTGGCAAGCGTCCATAGCTCCCTGAATTTGGATCCATGGGTTTCAACTAATACACTCGGACGGCCTGTCTCGACTATGCTTCCCTTATCCATTACCACAACTTTGTCAAATCCAAGTAGCATGTCCAACCGGTGGCTGACCATGATAATTGTGTACCCTCCGAATTCCTCCCTTATGATATTCTGCATTGCTTTATCTATATCCCAGTCTGCGTTCGAACTGACCTCATCCAGAAGCTGGATCCCGCCAACCATTACGCTTTTCTCTCCTAATTCTGATTCAAGTTGTCTCGTTCTAACCCTTCGCCTCAGAATGGCACGTGCAAGATTGAATAGCTGCCGCTGACCTCCTGAGAGAGTGTCCGCAAACATTCCAGCCGCGAGACCACCGCGCTCGTCGACGAAATCTTAGAGCCTTACAATCTCTAGCACGGCGCGACATTCGTTTTCATTAGAAATACCAAACGGATCCAGGTTAGTTTGGAAAGACGTCCCGTCAGGTAAAAATACCAGGTCTTGAGGCACGGCAATTATACGCTGGCGAAGAGTAGCGCGGTCGATTTTGTGGAGGGCAATATCGTCAATGATGATCCTCTCGGTGCATGATGAAATAGGATTAAGTAAACGGCGTAGAAGGAGAATTATGGAAGATTTCCCGCTCCCAGTTCGACCGCATAGCGCTACCTTTTCACCGGGGGCTATAGTTATGTCTAAGTTTCTTAGAGTGATATGATCAGGCCCTTTAGTAAGGCCATCGTTGTCACCACTTAATTCCTTGGAAACCTCCAAGCTAGCATCTCTTTTATATAGTCAGCATTATTAATATAACGAAGGGAATGTAGCCTTACGTGTAAGATGCTGAAACACCATTTATCTGAATACTTCCTCTCAGAGGCCAGTCTGAAGGGGGTACGATGTCCTCTCCCTCCAGACCCTCGGATTTCACCCTCTCGCTAAAATTCTTCAATCGACTAATAGCACCTATAGATGTTTCAAGCACGGTGTACGTCCGAATCATGAAAGAAAGATTGTTACCAAAGGTCATTAATGCGACCAGACTAGCACTAGTAAAACCTCCGTTTGAGCGTAACTGTGTGGCTAGAGTGACTATGACGAACGCAAGAGCCGTTACTACTAGTTGGAGGATAAACCCTAGCTAGCGTTGTATCATAGCAAGAAGGTAAGCTGGTCTCTGTGAGGTATCAAGATGACTGTCATTAAGTCTAATGCCATCATCGACCCAACCAAAAGCACGGTAAGTTGCGATGCCTTTAATCGTATCAATAAAATGTGAGCTAAATTATATTAGCATATCTCATAACGGAGGCCGCTGGGGATGAGGGCGTACTAAAGGGGGCTTTTAGCTTCAAGATCCAAGAGGCGAATCTGGCGAGATGTGCGGAGATAGAATTTTTTTATGCCGTATATGATAATCACTAGAAAGGGGTAAGTGATCACGAGGAATGGCGAAGACGTAGCTATTACCGCTGCCATTCCAAGACAGGTGAAGCTCTGGAGTATAAGATTGAGGAATGACTGGGGGAGCTCTCCATCAATCAGTGTCATGTCTTGCGAGAAGAGATTAGTTACGACGCCAGTGTCGGTAGTAGTAAAGAAGCTTAGCGGAGCGTTTATTACTGTCCTAAGAGCTTCTTTATGGAGCCTAGCGCCGGATGCTGATATCATTGCTCTAAAGCACACCATGTAGACGGAAAAGAGGGATGCAAGGGCTGATACTTGGAGGAGAGCATATATGCCGAGATAAAATGAGCTAGAGTGGGCGGGACTTGTAGATACATCCTCAGACCAGAATTTAAGCCAGATGGTAGTAAAGTTGGTAGTAAATCCCCATCCAAGGCCAAATAAGATGAGGGAAAAGAAGACATTCTCAAACACGATGGTGAAGTCGAAGTCGCCTCGACATCCCCGGACCGTAGGCCCAAATAATTCGTCGTTGACACATCCTGAAAAGTCCATCATCGTATGAATGACTTGGGAGTTGCCCAACCATGGGAGCCCAAACCAAAAGCCCTGCTATATATTCAGGGACGAAGTTTTAGACGCGAGGATCATGCTTTGGCCCATTGTTGTCTTGCATTATGTTGTGATTCTGAGAACGTTTAGAAAAAGGTAGCTTGACAGCTTCTAAATTGGTTACCCCGACCTGCAGGGATAATGGAAGACCCTTGCACGTACATATTATATATATTCATGTGCCTTATGCAATGCAACCTAAATACTTCCAAAGCATCCCGTAGATAAAGTTGCTGCCTATTGATGGACTTATCGTATTATTGGCCAATCCGGGTAGTAGTATGGTACATTCAAGTGTCTATATCGTTGACATGAGGGTAGTAAATAGGGGGGTGTATCTTACTATTCTAGGTTAATAGTTCTCCCATGCCCGTCAGTTATTGCTTCGTTATAGCCCTTTCCCATGTTTCCGTGACAATCCTCCAGTATCGTTCGCCATCTGATCTCATATGCGATACGTGTGGACTACGTTCGAACATTTCTGTTCGTACCTCTAGTCCCTTCGCTGCAGCTTGCTTCGCATGCATTTCTACATGCCTCCAGTCGACCATGAGATCAGCTTTGCCGTATATATAGGACCGATTCGTCTGCTTAACCAAGTCCAAGTCGTTGAAAACCCTCCAATTTACCGAAAGGAAATTCTCGCCAGTTATAAATCTAAGAGCGTGCAAGATCCAGAGGCAGGTAACAAATGAAATGACGAATGGGGTCGCGATCAACCGGAGGATGCCCTTTGGAAAGTTGATTATCATTACATTATAAGTAGGAGAAAAGGCAAATAACCCAGGACACGAATCGTACACCGCGGCATGAAGCGGAAAGGGGCGCCCTGTCTGAGATTGGAATAGTTCATATAATGTTCGTATAGTAGTCGAGCCACCATTCGAAAATACGTGCTAAATACACGTTAGCATCTTTACGACGTCCCAAGTACAACTCCCCATCCATTATAGACACGTCCTTCAAAGGTGCGAGAATAAAAAATGGAAAATAAAAAGAGGCATTCTATTTCAATGCGCCGGAGTTTTCATACATACCGTTAGGATCTCAGGCTCAGTCGGGGATACCGACAGGAAATCCGAATCGAGCTGGGATCGAAGGTATGTGAAAGCAGGCCCAACAGTTTCCTGTGTAAGGGATCGAGACATAGATTCCTTGAGGACAAACTTGGCCAGTATGATCTTGGAGGTGGGATAAATGGCCTGGTAACGCGTGATATACTTGGCAATGTGTAAGTCTTGTGCGTCCATCCACGATGCAACGAAGATGAGCTTCGGGACTCGCAATCGGGTAGTTTGCCGCGTAACGATAGACTCGGGTTCATAGATGTATACGAAGGGAGTTAGTTCTTTCATCATCGATAGTGGTTTAGCCACGATCGTAGCCAGCTGGTTTGATGCCATCTCGTAGTTAAGTTGTTAAATTGTTAAGTTCCAATGTTAAATTATTAGATATTTGCCCTTTGATTCTTAATTCTTCGTGTTATACAAGTTATAATTACGCCTTAGTCTAGTATTTATATATATTTATATCGGAGGTTAGAACTCAGAAGGGATGTTTGATGCCTCCGCGGTGCCAAGATACCCGTAGATCTGGGTAATTTCGGCGTAACCCTTGCTCCGTTTGATCACTATTAATCGGTCATAACGGCAGTTCAAGTTGCCGATCTGCGTTTTCCCACTTTCACGTAGATATATCCTACGTATATCTTTAACATTGAAAGAAAGCATCAACTTACGAGTAGCAATGCCAAACATAACACAAGCGCGACGGAATCTCGAAGGACAACGGTTACATGTATCCTAAAGTATGCTGTAAGATACTACATAGAGACAGATAAGCGAGTGCCTTGTATCCGTGCTACTTGGGTACATATTGGTTCTCTGAATTTGGTCGATATGTGCAACTCAGTCTAGCAAACTTCCAACTACATGGCTATGACTTGGTATTTCTATTATATACCACATCTATACAGACCATATGCGGATAGCGTAGACCAAACAGCTATATGCAAACAAGTCGAAATAACAATAGCGTACCTACATCGTCACTTGCATTATCTCTAACTATGTAATGTATGACCTTATATCTCTGCAGTGACCCGCGTCCAGATCACCCCTGATTTCATTACGGCTTCCTACGTAGGTTACTTCTTACGTCGGTAAGGTCATGTCAAATCATATCATCGTCGAAACGAACGACGGTATAGTGTGTACATGTGCCTAGTCTAAGCACATGTATGTAGGGTCAACTCTGAAGCCCTTGGATCTCTATAAGTCTAAGACAAACTCCACTTAGATGATAGTTTTAACCACAGCTTTAACCTCTTCCATTAGACTCACTTCCTACTTACACTTCTAGCATGGCCCTGCAGTTAACATTCAATATGATGACTCTGGGGACACTCGTCATACTCGGGCTCTTGGTCCCATCTCTAGCTGCTCCTGCTCTTGCCCAACTACCCTCGCTCAATTATACCCAAAGCCTTACGTCTGAGGATTTCATCCACTCGCTCGCTCTTCCTGGGTTCCGGTTCCGTCGTGCCAAACCACTTACTTCAATCCCCATTGATAGAACGGTCCAAAACTATATAGACTTGAGGCGTGTTCCCCACGACGTGCGCAAACCACGCCGCTCCGCGGCAGCCTTGTTTGGTCAAGTCCAGCGTAGTAGTGGTGGGAAAGGGTATGAAAACGTCACAGCTATCAATCACTACGCCGCCGAGTATGCAGTGCAAGCTTCATTCAATGGGCGGCAAATGGACCTTGTTATAGATTCAGGGTCTGCAGATACCTGTAAGTCAACATTGAGAAACCCCATCCATGTGTTAGGCTTTTGACCATAGTTCATATTTAAAGGGGTTATAGGACCCAACTTCAGCTGCAAAGGGAGCCTGAATCAGACCGTATCAGATGATATATGTGCTCTCGGCCCTGCCTTCGCGGGTAACTTCACTGGGGGGGCCATACCCAATATACACTTTGCTATTAAGTACGGGGACGGCGAAAGCGTACAGGGCCGTAAGTAAAACCCAATACGAAATTACAACAGGGAGGTGCTATCGGAAGAAGATAATGCTGACTCTTTAAGATAGTACTGGGGAAAATGGTGAGTAGCCTATGATACATATTGTGGTGTACTAGCGGAGGCTGTCCTGTGCGGATCCAGGCGATGCAAATACGCATATGGACGTATCCACGGGGATAGGCATTGTCTAATTGATCTCTCATTTTTAGGACGTCGAATTCGCAGGAGTAACGGTTTTCGACCAGGAAATTGCAATTGCTAGTCAAGGCACATGGCACGGTTAGTATATGCCCTCATTTCCCGATAATATATTTCTATCAGTATTCTAACTTGAGCTTCTAGGTAATAATGTAACTTCTGGCATCCTTGGGCTCGCCTACCCGTCTCTCACCAACGCCTACTGGGGAGATAACATTTACGACAATAGCCAGTTTCTCTCAGTCCCTTATTCGCCACTTTTTACATCGATGGTCACCGGCGGGTTGACCCAGCCATATTGGACTATTGCTAGTATGACAGTTCCTCTTTCCTGCTCCTCGGAAATTGTTAATAGGATATTAGTGGCTAGAAACTCGTCCCTTGGTTCCGTGAGCATTGGCGGGATGCCGCCGGTAGATATCAGTAAGAGCGATCATGACCAAACCCCTATTATCATTGTAAGTAAACTCATTCCCCACCAAAGCCTTCCATGAGCTGGCATGTATATTGACAAATTAGGCGGATATGATCGATCGAGACAGTACCTCTTGGAAGCCATCTTTCTATACTATCGTACCGACAGCCTTTCAATTCGGGGGAATTACGACGGGTGGACATTATCCGTTCATCTTAGACACTGCTACATCGTTGATCTACCTCCCACCAGGTGAATAAGTTCGATCCAGATGATCAAAGGTGTAGCTAATCTTGTTAAGACCTAGCTGAAATGGTAAATGGGAAGTTCGACCCGCCTGCATCATATCTCTGGAATTACGGTGCATACTTTACAAGCTGCGATGCTACTCCCCCAAGTTTTGGGGTTCAGATTGGAGAGACTACTTTCTGGGTTAATCCCAAGGATCTCCTAAACAAGGAGGAGAGGGACCCTCTAACTAACCTATGCCAAACTGGAATCGCTAATGGAGGCACTGGACCTTACATCTTGGGAATTACGTTTTTGACCAACGTCATTGCGATGATGAATATTGGGTCTGGTAACATTGAGTTCTGGAGCCACCAATTCTATTAAGATTGATAGGAGACAATTCCTATATGTTCGTAAAATGCGGTGCTGGCAGGTATAAGATGGACATGTTGGCCAGGTTCTAGACTGTTAATCATAAATCAAGCTCGCCCGCCATCTGACGGTTCAGCTTCATCAATGAAATAGGAAGAAACTTTATGTAAAAGCTAGTTAGTTAGAAAACTGAGATAAAATATTGCAATGCCATGCTATGCGTATATGTCGGTACCAGGTAGGTATGTATGTGATAAATGGGTATATGGAATAAGTGTAAATCGAGGTCTAGTTACTTTAGAGGGGCTTGTTATAACCGAAATAGGGGTCCCAGAAGGTCGGCACAGGATCCCCCGGAATCCCTGTCGGCTCCTCTAGATCTGCTTGGCTGGGAATCTCCACTCAGGCATTGCACGTGGTGTCGTGAATTCTGCGCGCTATCCTCACCGATAGGAACTCTCCTCGTTGTATCGAAATAGCGTCTTCACCTTCTCTGGCCAGTTTCAGACGGTGAAAGTGATCTAGCAGATCAGGTGAATTCCATCAGACGGATCATGATTTCAAGCCGGCTTCATTCTTCTTTCTGGTTGCTTTAAATACTACATGGTTCTCCGGAATAATTTACGTAAATCCCGCATAGCGAGGTAGATGTTGCAACGGCCAGACAGCATCGATATTAGCGGTCAAGATAAATACCAAGGAAGACTCAAGCGAAGGATCCCAAGGACTACCAGGGCAAAAAAAGACACCTTTATCATAGGTCGGATCTCACGGCGGGAACCCGAACTATACAAAATCGCCACGATGAGGGGCGTCGTTGCAGGGGGCCGAAGAGGTCACGCGTCGAATTTTTCCAAGGTGAGACGATGTGTTTTCTTGACACCGACTTGTTCGCTTCTTTCTACTACGGCCGCCTGGGATTTATACTATGTAATGTAGCGGATAATCAACCCCCGTGACAGTGCGGAGCGGGACCCAATCGCGATTGCGGTTTTGTTACTTTGGTATGGTCCAGTGGTCTGTGTGAAGAGCGGAAGTATGGCCGATTTAGTCAAAGTTGACTTCGAGACTATGTATTATTTCCTCACGTGGAAGACCTTGGTGGTTGGGGTGAAAGGCAATTGCTGTATCGTGGCACCAACCACATGGTGGATGATTTACGCCGGCAGTAATTCTTTCTGCTGAATGCAGGAGTTGTCGGTAATCTTCCCAAGCGGGAAATGAAGAAGATAATGTTTTTCGGGAGTAGTCGGTTGCGGGCGGACGGATTCTTATATTATTATGTTAAGAATAGGCAATTAGGATTCCGGCAAGTTGCCGAGGACTTCATTGAGTTTTATTTGTTCCGATTTTGAAATAAGATAGGGACCTTTGGTAGTTCGTGGCCCCTTCTTGTGTGCCCCGAAGAAGATCGAAAAGAGACATATGGAAATTAATACCAAAGTTGGTTTTAATAGTTCGGTTGATACCTAATGGCTACCTAGAAGCAAGGAGAACTTCTGAGCAAGTCTAAGCAAGTCTAGTGTAAGCTGTAGCTGAAAGGCTATCTTTATGAGCTATCCTTCTTATGGGCTATCTAAAACTCTAAAAGAAAACGGGGTCCCCAGCTCGGCTTATATTCATTTCTGATTGGTTCTCTCGGCTCTCTCCATTGGTCCTTTTGCCCCGCATCCCGATATAAAGTGGATTCTCCCTTAGAATGCGGGGCCCTATTGCCGACTTTTTTATATTTTTCTTGAGCTACCCCAGCTGCCTTGTGTTGCGTTGTAGCACTTGTAGCTGCCTGTCTGTTGTACTTATTAGATGTAATGTGGGAAGTAATGTGGGAGGGTACATTACATGTCCAGATGCCTTGTTAAACCCTGTCGCTGGTTCCTGAGAATCCCGGTGTTGCATCCAATCACGTCTTACTAGTGACGGAATCTCCTGCATCACCGCAACTTTCCTTTCTATCCATGAATCCAGCCCATCGCCTTCTTTCTTCTGGATGCAACACTACACCACCACGCATACATAGCTTTTTAACTACTTGACTACTAAAAAAAAAAGTATTTGAAGAAGACCAACTTGATATAGTTTCTTCTTTACCGGGTTATCTTTCTTAGCACCTGACTAGGATCCATAATCTCATCTCATATCATCCAATTCCTTTTCTCCGATTTCCATTCTTGACCAGAGTTTTCAAATTCGCTTTTCTTGTCCACATTGTCTTACTCGCTATACTTTCTACTACCGATCTTACCTGTTGCCTCACATGCTCCCATTGCTTACACCTGCAATTACAACCTCGCTACATCGGAAAGTTGGAAAACATGGCACCACGCACTAACGGCCGCGTCGTCCAGGTCGAGGACACCAAGATCTGTGTTGTCATGGTTGGCTTGCCTGCACGAGGGAAGAGTTACATAGCACAGAAAGGTAATACATTCATCTTAGCCACACGCCAACACAAACCCCCCTCCCCCTCCCCTCTTACTCTTCGAACTAGTCATTGTAAAATCTTAAATGGCTGACCTGTCTTACTCGTTCTGAAGCCCAGCGTTACCTTCAATGGCTCTCCATCGATGCCAAGACATTCAACGTTGGTAACTACCGACGTCATGACGCTCCTCAACCGCCAGCCGATTTCTTCGCTACTAACAATCCCGATGGAGAACGCAGGCGCCGCGCGGCCGCCGAGGCCGCTATTGCCGACATGATGAGCTGGTTTCGCCAAGGCGGTGTGATCGGAATCCTCGACGCTACCAATTCTACCAAGGAACGCAGGAGATGGGTCCATGACTTATGTACTAAGGAGGGTATCGAAGTTTTGTTCGTTGAATCCAAGTGTGATAACGAGGAACTCATCATGGCCAACATTCGAGATGTCAAGACTACCAGTCCCGATTACAAGGGCCAGGACCCCGAGAAAGCGGCTTTAGATTTTCGCAATCGAATAAAGAACTACGAGAAGGCATATAAGAGCATTGATGCCGACGGTGACGAGGATGAATATACCTACCTCAAGATTATGGATGTTGGGTCTCAGGTTATCATCAACCGTATACAAGATTACCTACAGAGTCGGGTAGTCTACTACCTAATGAACTTGCACATCCGGCCAAGATCGGTGTGGCTCTCGAGGCATGGGGAGTCACTGTACAACCTCTATGGGCGAATCGGTGGCGATGCGGATTTGTCTCCGCGAGGGCATCAATATGCTAAGAAGCTGCCCGAACTCGTTCGTCAGTCCGTCGGTGTAAGTTTATATCTAAATCAAAAGCTTTTACTGGATAGCAAGTCTCACATGGTTTGATAGGGTGACCGCCCCCTCACGGTATGGACCTCGACCCTAACACGCACTATACAAACGGCTCGTTTTCTACCCGACAATTACAACCAGTTGCAGTGGAAAGCATTAGACGAGCTCGATGCGGGTGTCTGTGACGGCATGACATATCAGGAGATCAAGGACGTTTACCCGGAGGATTTCGTCGCGCGCGACGAAGACAAATATAATTACCGCTACCGCGGTGGTGAGTCTTACCGCGACGTTGTTATCCGTCTTGAACCTATTATAATGGAGCTTGAACGATCCGAGGATATCCTAATTGTTACCCACCAAGCCATATTGCGCTGTATATATGCATACTTTATGAAGAAGGACCAGTCTCACAGCCCCTGGATGAACGTCCCACTCCACTGCCTCATCAAGCTCACCCCACGCGCTTATGGCACTGATGAAGAAAGATATCATGCCGATATTCCTGCTGTTAGCACGTGGCGAGGTAAGGGCAGCACCGCTAAGCACGAAGACCCCGTCCCGGAGGCGAACCTAGGTTACACTCCGACGGCAGCAGTCCACTAAGAATTCGCCTCAATGACTTTCGGTATTATGACTATGACGAAAATAAGATAGGTAGGGTAGAGCAGGAAAACTACTACTACTAGATGATCCGGTGGATTGGTTCAAAGGGGCGCATTAACGGATGAATACATTGTTACGGTTCTTGTTTTGGCGACCGGCTTTGTGGATAAAAAGGAACCGCCGCATATTAATATACATAGAGTGGGGTGGGCTGCTTGCATGAAATACGTGTCGGATGTTGTAAATATATTTACAGGCCTTTTTATATATCCCATGGGCACTAGATCATTGATAACTGTCGAAAAATTGGGTTAATAGTGACTCTACTTCATTCCATTCCTTACAGGTGTACGTGATGTTATGTCTTAAGGGGAATACCTACCTACCTGAGGTATATAAATGGGATTATCCTACAATTAAAGTCACATGCGCTCTGTTTCACTGTTACGGTATCTGCATCACGCAATGAGAGCTAAAATGTTCGAGTTGAAGTAAGTTCCGATTGCCTGAGAGGCTGGACGTGAATATGTTGGATACCACGTCAACCCCTTTTGTACCTTAAATTACTTCATTGCTCTTTATACACACCTATGCCTCCAACGCCATCAGATGTGAGAGATACAAGAAATATACATCTCCGCGCGAGAACCCCATCAACACTCGCCAACATTATTTCACCTAATTAATCAAGCACTATCAAGTACTAATTACATACTTCCTAGTAACTAGCAGACGCTGTAGGTGGGTAGACCACCACCCTGGTAGATGAAGCCGGCCTCCCACTGTGGCTCGTCCGGGCTAATGAGGGTGCCGGCTTGGCCGCCGGATACACATAGGGCTTCAGCTGAGGCGAGCTGGCTGCCGACGAAGTTGGTATCGGTCGACAACTGTTGGCATAGGGCACAAAAGAAGCCCCAACACGTCCCGTATTGGAATAATAGGCACGCGTTGGGTGCCACTATGAGGGGTTGATCTAGCGCGAACACTTCATCGATTACGTTGTTGCAGTCGTTGTCACCAGGTGGGGGGTTCTATGGAAAAAGGACAAAATATTAGTAAAGGAATAGGCATAAGTAAGATAAGACAGGTGGATGAAAGACTTGAGCTTCGATGTGGTCTTCTGAAGATGACATCTAACTGTGGTCGACACAATTACCAGGAAAAAAAGGGGGGGAAGAGACGAGGGACGTACCGAGTTCCTGCATTCATAGAAGTCACCAGTGGTGGATTGACGCGACGATAGGACCGAGCTGGCGGGAACTTGCTTCAAGTTCACCTTATCAAGGTGTAGCGACGGCTGGACAGTCTGAATTTCATATACAGGCTGTGGTCGGCGGACTTCTTTTTGGACATGGCTAAACCCGTCTACTGCAGAGGCGGCTAAGCCAGCAATCAGAGTGAAGAAGAAGGTTGACTTCATGATGACAGAAGTTTGTTTGAATTGCGTGATGAGAAGTGATCTACAGAGGCTGATATTCTCCGGGAATGGTGCAACATCTTTCCTAACCAGAAGACTATACGCACACTTCTTATACTGCTTCCCCCACGCACATATCATACGCTTGGCTTGCAGAAAGACGGCAAACAGATAGGATTACACTCCGACTTACGGTAACCTTGAGCCCTAGGACCTGCCGGATGAGGCATTGAACATTCTCGCCTCGGTGGGCAGATGATAGCTCGCGGTCTCGACCTCATCGCAGCTCAGCTCGTGGTTGATCTGGAGACTGGCCATGATGTTCATGACCATGCTTCTTCCCGGTCCTCCCTAGGCAATGGATGTGCCGGCATACCAGTCTAAATCCTGTCATGACCTAAGCCTCGCAACCCTCCAGCATCGTCCAATGATTTCCAACTTTCTCAGCAGCTTGTAAGGCGCCGAGCTCCACCTCAGCCGTGTCCATCACATCCCCATGGCATACCCTTGCGGAGCTCTACCAGAGAATACGCCAAAAGGCCGGACGAGTCCGAGTCTCGACCGCGTGATACGACATGGTCCAAGTAATATCTTGAGCTTATAATCACCTCACAGCTACCATATTGAGAAGCCTCCTCGCAACGGTGTCACATCACATTGCAACGTGGTACCCAGGCCCAAGTCCAATAAGACCAAGACACGGGAGGCGGATACGGAGGAAGAGGGTAGTAGTTCGGCCGATGATGATGAGCCTAGCGCGCCACGAGTACGAGAGTAATGTTGAGGCGGAGAAGGGCAGTGAATAGGGGTAGGTGAAAGATTTTGCTGAGGGGATTAGTCTATCATACCTGCAGAAAAGGAATCTACGAGGACAACATTTCCCGGCAGTACGAATGCATATAATACCTGCAGAATAGCCCGTTACTGGGACTCCCCCAAGCAACCTGGGTAGCGGATATGCTTCCCCATAGTATAATATCTACTAATCTATCTGGCAGAGACGACCAAGCACCTGGGGTACCGAACCCTCAATCTATCTCACGCAAGTCATGGGATATAGGATTGCCAGTTGAACTTGGTGCCGAGAATCTAATTTTAAACAAACCGACGATGCCGCGGCCAGGACTCTGGGGGAAGGCAACTATGAGAATCGATAGGAAAGGCGCGTGAGCGGGTGGTATGGGGTTGAGTCGCGAGCCAGAACGAGGGAGAACAACGTCGACTTTATCCGCGAATTTATCCAGTGCAACGGTATGCAAGCTGTAATGCACCTCAACCCGCAACCCTCGCATTCGAGAAAGGGCATCGAGACAATAAGCGATGGAGTGGGAACAAGTGCCCGGCAGCCTGGAAGGATTTAGTAGGTAATAATATCGAGAGCGAGGACCGGTAGTGCTTTTCATTTATAACACGCTTCTAATATCAGTTGCCGAATCAGCATTGATAGAGAGGTATCCAGGGCCAAGGACGGAAGACGCGGCCTGGGGGTATGAGAGATATACGGGGTGTGATTGTAGTATTGATCTTTATTTATAATAAACTGAGGTGCTAAAAAATAAAAGTAGAAGGGAGGTCGGGTAAAACTTTTGAATAACAGTTATTGAGGCTATCGTGAGCCAGCGTGGATTGATCTCTACATAATATAAGCCTATGTTGTGATTTCGTTCTTTTTTCGGGATAAGGTAGAATAAAAGAAAATGAAAGTATATATCCATATTTTACATTTTACATATTAGTATTTCATAGACAACTTATTATGAAGTATATATTCTTAGCGATGAGATGAATGAAAATATCAGTCGAGATGAGATTCTGGCCTAGTGTACGGATTATGTACGTCCGGACATAGAATTCTGTGCACGGACCACATTATTGAGACTAATAGACCCACTTCTGCTTATCAGAATCTTTTTCAATCGATAAGCAAAAAATTCCTTGAGCGAGAGGAACGACGGGTAAAAGTACCTAGACAGCCCACTTCTCAAGCTCAACTTCTCAAGCAACATTTATTCGCAACGTTCATTCGCAACACCATGGAGTCGGCAAAGTATGCAAAAAAGCGAAAGTTCAAGGACGCCAATGGCTCCAAAAGCACCGAGTTAAAGTCCAAGGCGCTTCCCGTCAAGGCACCCAAATCCAAGAAGCTAAAGCGAGCTGCACCCGAGATTGCTGCTGAATCCTCGAACGACGACTCTGAAGCCGAAGATGACACCCAAGAACAAGAGCAAGATTCGGATGACAGTGGGAAAGAGGATGGTCAGGGCGAGGAAGAAATAGAAGAAGAAGATGCGAAAGAAACATCTGAATTGAATAAGAGGGTGGAAGCAGCGAACGCCGAGGACGAGGACGATGGCCAAAATCCTCAAAACACAGATTTGCCTGCCGACAGCGCCATCGCCGCCCTTCAGACTGCAATCGGTTCCGATGCGCAAAACTTTGCCGACTTAAACTTGTCAGAAAAGACCACCAAGGCCATCAAGGAAGATATGGGCTTCGAAAAGATGACAACGATTCAACGGAAAGCAATCCCACCTTTACTAGCTGGTCGCGACGTGCTCGGTGCTGCAAAGACGGGTAGTGGAAAGACTTTGGCCTTCTTAATCCCAGCGGTGGAAATGCTAAGCGCACTGCGATTCAAACCACGAAACGGAACCGGCGTTATCGTCGTCTCTCCTACAAGAGAGTTGGCCCTGCAAATTTTCGGAGTTGCCCGCGAATTGATGGCGCATCACTCCCAGACATATGGCATAGTTATTGGAGGCGCAAACCGCAGGGCAGAGGCCGAAAAGCTATCCAAGGGAGTGAATCTCATCATTGCGACCCCCGGGAGACTCCTGGATCACCTACAAAATACCCCCTTTGTCTTCAAGAATCTGAAGTCTCTGATTATAGACGAGGCGGATCGTATATTGGAAATAGGTTTCGAAGATGAAATGCGTCAAATCATCAAGATCCTACCCAGCGAAGGCAGGCAGACCATGCTCTTCTCCGCGACGCAAACTACCAAGGTTGAAGATCTCGCCAGGATTTCTCTTCGACCAGGTCCCCTCTACATTAACGTCGATGAAGAGAGTACCAGCTCTACCGTTGCGGGACTAGAGCAAGGATATGTTACCTGCGAAGCTGATAAGCGATTCCTTCTTCTTTTCTCGTTTCTGAAGCGGAACCTGAAGAAGAAGGTTATCGTGTTTTTCTCCAGCTGTGCCAGTGTCAATTACTACGCTGAGCTTCTAAATTACATCGATCTGTAAGTCCTCTGTTCCCAGTACCGCGCCTCGATACGTTCATAGATACTAACAACATTTGGCAGGCCCTGTCTATCTCTCCACGGCAAGCAGAAGCAACAAAAGCGGACAAACACTTTCTTTGAATTCTGTAACGCTAAGACTGGTATCCTTCTATGTACGGACGTTGCCGCTCGTGGTCTAGATGTAAGTAGTCGAAGTAAACCTTGCAGTGACATGTCACTAACTAGAGACTAGATCCCAGCAGTCGACTACATCGTTCAATTTGATCCCCCCGATGATCCCCGCGACTACATCCATCGGGTTGGTCGAACTGCACGTGGCGCAAATTCCAAAGGTCGCAGTCTCCTCTTCTTGCAACCCCATGAGCTTGGCTTCTTGTCTCACTTGAAAGAGGCTCGCGTGCCTGTGCTCGAGTACGAATTCCCAGCGAAGAAAATTCTAAACGTCTCTTCGCAACTAGAAAAACTCATCTCGCAGAACTACTATCTCAATCAGAGCGCCAAGGATGGTTATCGGTCATATCTGCACGCTTACGCAAGCCATAGCTTGCGTTCTGTTTTTGATATAAACAAGTTAGATTTGGTAAAGGTCGCTAGAAGTTTCGGCTTCTCTACGCCTCCGCGAATCGACCTCACGTTAGGCGCGAGTATGAGCAGGGATAAGAAGGTGCAAGGAAGGAGGGCATATGGCAGCCAGCCAAGGCAAGCCCAGAAGTTCAAGAAGCGATAGTGATAGTACTGGTCTGTGAAGTTATAATTGTGGAGTTTTGGTTGTGCTTTGATAATATACCAGCTTCTGTTACTTAGCCCCTTTATACGGAAATAGACGCTATGATCATGCAAAGTCGAATGCAGTCAGATCCCACTAACCTAGTATTTGGTGTTTATTCGGCTACAACCTGTGTATTCACGATTATCAACATATCGTATGAACCGTAACAAAATAAATATACTGTGTATCATATTATATTTCATGGGATCCTCGATGCCTTGCCAGCAAATATCTTATTTAGTAGCGCGTGACTGACAGAACTCAGCGACCTGTACGCCCCAAGCTTCCTCCTTCTCAATTCCCGTACTCAAGCCTAACTGAGGGCTGATATGATTGTGCCCGTCCAGGATATCGTAAGTGATATCAGCTTTCGTCCACTCCTTTTTGAACTGCTGCGCCGACTCATATATAAGCTCGGGGTCCAGTTCGCTGACGAGGATACTAATCTTAACACCGGGTAGAACCGGCTCCGAGCCCTTCTTTTTCTCCTTGTCCAGAATACCAAGGGACGAGTTCTCCCAGATCTTGCCCTCCCCTAAGTACGCTCGTAGAATCGCATTGTCATCGCCGCCCCAATGGAACGGCACGCCGAGCAGTACCACGCCCCTGAGTAGTACGCCCGGGCCCTTTCGCTCCTCGGACACAACCGCTTCCCTGGACTCTTTAAACCCCGGGTCCAGGAGGTACGTCGTAACGTGGATACCTCCAGCAGAATTACCCAGCAGAAATAAGTCAATAGACTCATACCCCTCCTGCTTCGTCAACTCCTTCGCGATCCAATCAATGACAAGCTTCACGTCCTCGCCACCGGAGGGATACTTGGCGCCGTGAGAAATGAGCCGGTAGTCCGGGACGATAACGGTAAAGCCGTAGCGGGAAGCGAAGAAGTGGCCCACGTTCTTAAACACCAAGCCGTGGGCATACTCGTCGTTTATCTTACCGCCGCCAACGAACCCGCCTCCGTATAGAAAGACGAACACGGGCTTCGCGCGGAACTGCGGCGCCGCTTTGGCCTGGTCCGGGAAGTAGACGTCTAGCTGCTGTCGCGGAGTGCTCCCGTACTTGTGCGTCTCGCGTCGCGTAGACTTGATCTCGGTCTCCTTCGCGAGGACGAGCGGCGCATACGCTGCGAACGTAGGAAGTAGCAAATCATCGATTCCGCGGCCGAGCGGTCGCAGCTTATCCATTGTGCGTGAGGTAAGTAGGTATATCTAAACCAACTACCTAAATTACCGCGAAATGTGGTGGTTTTTCAGGGTCCAACAGGTTAGAAAGATGGTTGGTGGAGAGTTTAAGACGACGACGTGCCCCGGTCCAGATCGAATGGATAATATCGATCTCTACCGTAGCATTCGGTGGATTCTTTGCATATGGGATGCGGGGAACGACCATGCAGCCCATAAACCCATAAACCCGGCATCAACATCTAACGGTTATTCCTCCATTGATCCTAGCGAGACGGGAAGCTGGACGTTGTCGTACGGTGACTTTCGGCATTTCTGTCCTATAGAGGCCAAGACAAATAGTTACCGAGCGGACTTACATAGTCATAGTCATAGCCATATGTAATAGCTATGAGACGAGGCCGCGCTAGACTTGATTCTATTGTTATTATTGGGCCACGTTATACCCCTTTTGTTTGCTATCGGTGTCAATGGAGATACATAACTTCTAATAGTTAAAGCAAACTCTAGTACTCGGCACTTAACTCAAGTTAGGAGCGTATAAAAAAGGGGCGTTTTATTTATTTATCTATTTATTTACTATATGTCGCAAAAGGCGACGCCGCCACTTGCAAGCACGCAACCAGGGCTTATATGTTCGACACTATAGCTAATAAATATATAGTTAAATAACCCCTTTACAATTTCTGTCCGGCAGTGCCGGGTATGGTATCGGGAACGGCAGCGGAACCCAGCACCTCGATAGGGGAGTACGGCAGCGAACTAGCCGTCAACGTGCCGGCCGGTGCCGTGTTCTCCGAGCCTCCGAGGTCGACATCGTCGAGGACGGCATAGCCGGTTTCCTTAGAGTCGGCAAAGAAAACGGCATTCTTGGCGCTGTTCTTGAAGGCAGAGCTTTGAATCAGAACTTGAGCGCCCATTCGGGTGTTGACACCGCTTGCGATCAACGAGTCCCAGAATGTGTTGACGATGTGCACGGTTGCGAAGCGGATGAGCGGTGCACGGCTGTACGTGTTGAAGAAGTGGTTGTTGGCGTAAGTGATGTGAAGGGAGCCTTCATCCTCCTCGGCGTTGTTGTCCGAGTGTCCGATCAACGACGCCTTCCAGTGGTCATGAAAGTATGTGTTGGATACGGTAACCCACTCAGATCCGTGCGAGATATCGACGAGTCCGTCGAGATCATCCTTGCCGAGGCTTAGGTCGCCGGACAAGTCGCAATGGTCGACCCAGACGTTTGATGATGCGTCGATACCGATGGCGTCGCCGTTCTCGGCTAGGACCTTGGAGATATTCATGTTACGGATAATAACATTATTAACTCTACGGACATATAGACCGACACCATTGAGCGAACTACCCGTCTCTCCGTAGATGGTCTTGTCGGCGGAGACGCGTACTTTGGCGGAGCCGGAGATGGCGCCGGAGACGATGATAGTAAGAGGGCCATCTTGCGCGGCTGCTTCAGTGAGGCTATCGACGTCGGTCACGGTCACGGTCTCACCCGCGGCACCACCTGTCGTTCCGCCGTTCTGGGTGCAGTAGCCGACAGAGCATGCCTCAGCGGCCTGTCTTCGAGCAATGCTATTGCGTGCAACGGCATTGTTATGAGGAGAGGCTACAGCAAAAGCTGCAAATAGCGCAACGGCTGAGAACTTCATCTTGCAGTGTAATGGACGAATTTTACGGCTCTCTCGATATATCTAAGTGATAAAGACAATGATGGAGGATGTCGAGCGTGAGGTGCAAAATGAGAGAATGAAGTGAGTCGACCACGCCCCTTATTTATATTATTATACCCCTTAACACAAAAAAGCTTCGTAGCAGCCATTGTATAAGAGCTATTTCGCTATGAACATTCCCCATAGGACGGGATATTCCAGTATACGACACCATCATCATATGAGACCTGCCTGTTATGGATACATGTTATGGACGTGCCTATTGTCAGAGAAGTGGATTCGGACAGAAGATGCATCAGGAATGGTGGAAGAAAAATACAATATCGAAGGAGCATCGTTCCCGTCTACTAAAAAGCTTGTTTGGTCTTGGCGGGCACTACTGCTTCGAAATAGATTGCTGTCGAAGCAGTCAACCAGGTAAAATGAGGTGATAACGAGCCAAAAGAAACAGGACGCGTTCATCGGGCTTGAAAATGGGCGGATAGAAAAAGAAAAAGTGCAGACCTAGACCTATCGCATGCCGTCCAGTGGAGGTTAAGTCCGGTGGGCGCAGACTACGACTCCTTAAATCTCCAACTTCTCGATTTGTAAATGCATAACTATATGTACTTGGGCACGGGCTTTTGTCTTGCAAAGGCAATGATGTGACAGGCTGTTAGTTGCTCATTCGACATTGCGTGTCGCGATCCACCGGGGCCGTTTGTTGGCCGTTCACATTACCATCAATAGACGGAAAGCATACGATAAATAATCCGTTGCTGTGAAGTCTTCAAATAATTCGGGTTAAAGCATTGCGAATTCAAGAAGACTCTTTGAAACAGTTATAGCAAGGGTAGTTGTAATTTGTAATGCCAACCCAACACCACTTATCACCGCTTCAACGCGTACGTACAATAGATGTTTCACCAACTCGTAAACACAACCAAAGCCCCATAGCTATTACATGTCGACCGGGAGCAACACCCAAGTTCTTGTTTAACAACTAGGGCCAGAAACCCAACTACACCGAAACTAATTAGAATACGAGTTCAGGGCGAAAATACGGCATAAATAAGCAGATAACAAAACTTACCGTTTCCACATCTTGCCTATAAATCCGGTGTTGTATTGATTTGATATGCTCTCACGTCTTTTGATAGACTCTTTATCGGTAGATCTCTTTTGAAGGTAGAGGTTGTTAAAATCGGGTCCGGAGAACTGAATAGTTATTGTTAGTTCGAAGTCATCAAGGAAGAATAATCCAAAGTATCAGATGGTCCCATATGATAATTGGTTAGAGAGGGATGTCAACTTACGGAGCCGGAACTAGTGTTTCCACCACCTTGGTAGCCAGCCTTCCCGCCTACGGACCGCGCGTTACCCCAGTTGCTCATGTTAATTATCTAGACAGGTGGTGTATATATATTGATGGCCGTTGAATTATCTCAATATGAATAGAAGTGAGAAGATTTAGTTGTTTTTACACATCCTCCTAGCATAAGCGCTTGAAAGAGCAATTATATAGGATTCGAGAAAAAGAAACAGATCTGTCAACTATAGCAAATTGTGTAATGATCTTCGACAAGCCTCAATGAATGATGAGTGTTGACGTACCTGGTACAGTAACAAAAAGCATAATCTCATTGGCGGGTGACCGTGACGAAGTGGTGAAGTCACCAGTCATAACGCAACCAACTATGTGGCCATACATAAAGGAGCCCAAGTCAAGTACACCACAAAGAAGAATAGTAGTTACGATGGTGAGAAAGGGACCTAGGAGGAGGATCGAATAAGACTTAAAGACTTGTTTCAGTTATTACATAGATTCTTGGACTATCAAGCAAGTCAAGACCCGGTTATACAAGTCCAGTCTTGTGGCCTTAGCGTATTGGTATATAAACTGAATTTGACATCTAAACTTTCACATACGACCATAGGATCTGGAAAATTCGGGATCCCGTCCGCTCTCCCCTAGACAAGCCGGATACCGCCGGATTAGTAGTTGGGTCGGTGACGACCAGCGAATCCCCGGTGTTGTATGTTTTTTTCTTTTTTTCCTTTTTTTGTTTGTCTGTTTGTTTCTTTTTCTTTTTTTATACAATTTCTATCTTACCTCTGGTTTTATCCGAAATAGATATCATAAATATAAGCTTGAAGTAGTTGCCGTGGTGTTTTTATACAATATCGTGGGAGTAAAGCCCGGCCCTCTTCGTAGGGTGAGGGTATTCCAAGCCCCTAACCTACCCACATTTTTTCGCAACGGCCGATGAAAGGACATACGGCATCTTTTCTATCAGTTAACGTAATATCTAGTTCAAATAATATCTGTTTGGTGTACATTGGTTAATCGTGTTTGGTTGTGTTCTTATTAGACTATGGTATTCTATGTATAACCAACCCCTTAACCAGCCTCCTTAACCAACGCCCAACACTTCCGCATACCCGTCCCCATCGACTCCGCATCAAGAGCCTCAACATCGCTCCACCGGCTCCGTATCCTATCACATTTACTAGACCCCCCCTCTTCATCACCATCCTCATCCTCGCTCTCACCCTCAACTTCAAATAAATAAACATGCATCGTCAACTTCAAATGCGAAAAAAGCCACGGCACAGACCCCAACTCACCCACATACTTCACCCCGCCCTTCCTCTTCCCCGATAACCCCTGAACAAACTTCTCCGCATCCCTCTTCCTACTCTTCCCCGACCCTCCCCGCGGATCCTCTACGATATAACTCGGCAGCTCCCACAACCCCGCCAGGAGCCCCTTTTCCGGCCTCTTATGAATCAGATACCGACCGTCGCTGCGCCGGATAGCACAGACTAACGTCTCCTCCTCGCGCACGGCTTTCTTAACCGTCTTGAGCGGGAACTTTCTCGCGTGGCTTACGACCGCTTCTACCGCGGCACTACTAAGAGCTGGAGATGGCGGCGCCTTAGAACTAGATGCGATTTTCCGTTTGGACGCGACTTGTGTGAATGCGAATGATCGTAACGTAGTTTGTGTCCGAGACTTGGATTTCTGCTGCTTCAATACCTCCTCCGTCTTTAAGATCTGTTCGTTGTCGTCGCCGTCTTCCTCTGTATACTCCTTGAATGGCTTGCACAGAGTGCAGGCATCTTCAATATCAAGAGTAGTAGTATTGCTCGGCGCCGTAGGCTTAGATACCAAGCCCCTCTTTGCAGCTAACCTCAGACCCTCGTCGTACGCGCGACAGCTCGATGTAATAGGGCATACTGCGCAGTTAGGCTTTGGTGCGCATATCGTGCTGCCAAGTTCCATCAACGCCTGGCCCCAGCGACCAGGCCTATTACTCGGTGCCGCTTCCTCATATTCCCCTCTCTTAGTAGTAGTATCATCATCCTCATCTTCTGGATCATCTCCCGCAACAGCCTTAACTAGGGCATCAGCCGCCGCCCACAACAGCTCAATAACCGCCTTATCCGTCTTAACATCCCCAAACACACCAAGCTGCCGGCTCAGCACACGCAGCACATTTCCATCCACCATCGGTGCCGCTCTCCCAAAGACGATCGCCGAGATAGCCCCCGCCGTGTATCTCCCGACGCCAGGCACTTTCGCAACCAACTCTCCCACATCCGCCGGCAACAAGCCCTTCATACCAGAATCCTTGCACACGATCCTAGCCGCGTCATGGATCCTCGTAGCGCGACTATAATATCCGAGTCCTCTCCAGGCTGAAAGCACTTCGTCCTGCTCCGCAGCCGCTAAGTCCCGGATCGTAGGCCATCGTTTCATCCAGCGGTTCCAGTAGTCGACGACGGTAGCAACGCGCGTCTGCTGGAGCATGATCTCGCTGATCCAGACCTGGTACGCGCGACGCTCGACTTCCTTAGGAGTAGTAGTACTTGGGTCCGTCCAGGATTTGCGCCAGGGCATCTCGCGCGAAGAGCTTACGCCGTCGAACCAGGTGAGCAGACATGTGCGAGCCTGACGGCTGTCTAGGAGTAAAGGACGGTGATAACGTAGTCCATGGGCACGATTAGGGTGGTTAATACCACCACTTTCCGTTGTAGAGGCGTTTAGGGCCATGTTCAGTTTGCCGAAGAGGCACGCATGTAACTGAGCGGTAGCATCTCCATTCTTTTTAATAGACCGCGCTCCTACCTTTTGCCTCTTGACACGTGGTGCTTCTGCTGGACTGTCTTCAACGAATTCTTCATCACTCTGATGCTGGGCGGCCCTCTTCCTAATCCTAGTTTTTCGGGAAGCACTATTTGTTTGTAGCAGTTCTTCATTTTTTATGACAGATGGTGGCTCTGGTGTATTAGCCTCATCCGCCAATATCGAGACTGGCTGTCGCGTGCTTCGCAATGAGCGCCGCATAGTGTGAAGCGTGTAAGTGATTATTTGTTTAAATAAAGTGAGTCGCGGCGCGTTGGAGACACAACCGCGTCATCACGTGATATGATATATAATATATGATATGTCAATTCAGGGGGTCAAAACTAGAATAGATAATGACGTATTTTGTTCTATATAGAGTAACACACGTACTGGCGTGCATATATCTTTTAAATATTGGCTCCTGTCTTAGCTTATTTCTCTACATTTCCTACTATCTAAATCATACTTTTCCCACCCATATCTGTACTGGCTAATTTGGGTGTATGCGCTCTTATTTTAAACGGCTTGTGGCAAATGCTTTCTTACTTTTTTTTTTCGCTATGCTGCTCTTGAATATCCAACTTAAAATCCTGCTCTACTCCTGTAACTACCTTGTCTTAGATAATGATGAGCTACTTAATATGTTAGTGGTTTATTCTTATGCTCTTTGCATGTTGGGCTGGGGACATCGCTAACCTCAATTAACTTCTCGGTCAATATAGAACACTGCTTGTCCGGATCTTGAGCGTAAGTGAAGGAGCTCGAGCGATAAAGCCCTTCAAATCCCAAATCTTCTAAGATCTCATTTAATATGCCGGCGCTTTCTAGCGCGCTCGTAAACTTTGGGTTGGAAGATAGTGTCTGAAGCAGAGCGTGCGCCGATTCAAGTGTCGAAGAGCTCTGACCATGGAGCAACACCTCGTCCAAAAATGACGCGATGGTTGGGCATCTATACTATGTCAGTAACTTGTATGTAATATATATCCAAGAGCTAATTGAACTCACAGGTGCAATACGACGGTAGGTCTTCCGGATGCCAGGTCATTAAGCCACGCCAGAGTATGAGTCTGTATCGCCTCGTCTAGGATCTGGAAATCAACCAGCTCAATAGCCGTGCTTAATAAGAGGTCTTTGTCCTTTACGCTATTCAGGTCGTGCAGGTTGCGAGTTGGCCCTAAATTAGCAACGTTTAATGGGTTGATACCCGCCGACCAGAGGCATTCCTTTAAATCCTCAGGGGTAATTGCCCGGGCGTGAATGAGAGCTAGATATGGTGACGCATAGAACTCGGTTGTAAAGGTCTTTGATGAATCCTCGGAGCTGCCTGTTGTCATCTCGAGGAAGGTTGAGAGAACCCGGAGTGCTGTAATTCTAGTGATAGGGTCTGTAAGCCCTCGCGCGAGACAGGCGCAGACTGCGAAATGGAAACTGTCTGGTGTGAAATGTATCCCGTACGCTTCATCCAGGGGTATCGCCGCTTCTTCCAATGTTGCTCGACCTTGTAAGAGATATTGTGCCATTTTATTGTTTTTTAACTCATTTGTCGTCCCAATGTTTGCCAGAACAGCTTCCAGGAACAAGGCAGCACAGTTGAACAGGGTGGCGGGTACGAGACGGACAAGCGACATCGCCAACCAGAACAGTTGCGGCCCATATCGAGAGGCTGCAGTGAGCTTCGCGATCATCTTAGATAAAGATGTGACTATAGCAACGAGCATGTCGCTGCCGTTGTCTTCACCAAAACGACCGACGCTATTGCGGAGTGCTACGAGGACTTGGTAGAGCAAGTCGTCATCAACTTCTTCGCGAGCTAAACATCCCATTACGGTGAATGCTCGGGGCTGAATTGCTGGATTATTTTGAAAGGCAGTGCTGGCTACCAAACTCATCCATCTCGACCGCCAAGCGTTAGCCATATCAACCGATGGTGCTGCAACAGAACACGTCTCGAAGAGTAGAGTGGCTAGGTTCTCTATAACCGAAAGCGTCGGCCCGGCCTCGTGAGAAGTTGTGATAGAGGCTCCTTCCTTGGTCACGACCAAGGGAACGGAGAGACTATCATTTCTTGGTTCGGACAAGATTTCAAGGGTGCCCCGGAGTTTCGACAGCTTCGTATCTTCTAGCTGGAATGAGGTGCAAGCTGCATGGATCGAATTGATTAATAGTCGGTGGACTAGCGCTCGAATATCATGAGTGCCCGTGTTTGATAGCATAGTGACTATATGGAATATTTCAGGCAAGTAGATTTGCGTCTGAACGCCACAATCAAAGGAAAGGGAGAGGCAAAATTGGAGTAGAATGCAAAGCTCGTTCCAAACGGAGTTATCGGGTAGATATTTCGTGGGTCGAAGCGAGGATCTGTTCAGTGCCTTCCGAAGCCTGGATATTATCTTTCCACGAAGCGTTATTGTGCCAATAGCTGTCACTATTGACGTTAGAGCTTGCGTGTGCTCGTCATATAGCCCCACAGCCAACGCCGCCTTGACAATCTCATCAAGGAAGATGTCTAATAAGACTTCATCCTTGTGAATCGCTGGCCAAGCTGTGTATTCCAAAACTAGGCCTAGTGAAGGCTCCATAACCGTCACATCTATCAACTTGCGGAATATCGAAGCTACTTTTTCTTTGGCTTTCTCGCTGTCAGTCTCGTCCGGTAAGAGTGATGTACGCAGGCCTGGTATCCAGGGCGCCATGTAAGCCAGACTCAAAGGTTTCTGCTCATCGGAGAAACTTTCCCACCCGACAAAGAATTCATTCAAGAAGTCGCATGTTAGCTGGGGTTCTTCTTTGGCAAGAACTTTGCTGACGTTGACGATGAATTGAGTAGGGTCTAGAGGAACGGAGACATCTGCGTAGTATGGTTAGTGAAGACGGCGAGAGAATTTTGGAGAGGGCTTTACCTTTGGTGCACATGAACATGGAAGCTGCCTTGAACTTGAAAGCTCGACACAGCGCGCCGAGTAGATTATACGATGCAATCCGGAGCATCGCATCCGGAGAAGCAAGATTTGTTAACGCAAGGTTCAGCAATGTTCCAGGGACATCTTGAGGTCGGATAAGCCGCTCGAACGGTTTTATCGTCCTGGCATCTTTACTTAACATTGCCTTTGCTCTGCGGATTTCCTTCAAGACGTCAGCCTTCCTACTGCTTTGGAAGTACATCACAATTTTGCCATTGTCTGCACGCAACCCAAACGCAGAGTCATCCTCGGTAGGAATAGAAGTTGGCGCCTCATCCAGATCCTTGAGGTGGAAAATGTCGTTTACAATTCCGTTTAGACGAAAAGTTGGATGAACCTCCTGTTTCTTCACGGTGGTTACTTGAACAAACGAGCCACCGACCCCAACTGTTACTTCAATCTTTCCTTTAGTCTTCGAGAGCCGAGTAACCGGCTGGAAAGTGTATCGAGAATCGGTGGCTATGCTGATGGTCTCCTTCGGAAGGTGGACTTGACTAAGGTGGAAATGTGCCTGTAGATCTTGACGGCTGCTAAGTAGTAGATAATCTACGTTGCCTGGATTTAAGACATTTGTATCACTCTTCGTGGCTATACGAAGTATGCGCCGGAAGCATTTCCTGGTTTCGTTAGCACGTCAGATACACGATGGTGCAATATCAACATACCGGAATGTGCTATTCATATTATAGACATAAATCCTAGAAAGCTGATCAGACAATTCGCTTGGACTAAGAAGTTCCAACTTTTTGAACAGCTCGTCCGGGGGGTCATTTTGACCATCATAACATGTCGCATCGATTAATAACCCGAATGGCTTGTGCCATAGCCGGCTCGCAATCTAGGATAGGTTAGACAAGGGATTGTACAATAGGGGGAGGAATAAAGAAACCGGTGTGTGAAGGAAAAAGTTTTTCGGAGCCGAGCGTAGTGGTTTAATTAGAACTTACTTTTAGGAAGCAATACAAAAGGGTATCATAATCTATGGAATCTTGATCGATATGGCGAAGAATTATACAAATGACGGAGAGCCCATCCTATGATCATTAGCTTTGAACAAGTATCGAAGGTTTTCTGTTGATCACGATATACGTACTCTACTCTCGCCACCGTCGTAAATGGCACGAGCTGTTGCAAAGGAATCGGTACCCCGGAAAGCGTTACGAAGCATGAAGTGCTGGAACCTAGAGTAAGACAATGGGGTATTTGAAGATATTTGAGGGCGATTCCAAGTAACCGCTAGCGGAGGTGGCCCCAAATTTGTTATGAGAGCCCGTAAGGGTTCGAGTACGGGCGATCGACCACGAACTAACTCGTTAGGAGAGCGTACGTGCTCTCGTCGTTCCTGAGACATGAGTCTTTGCCGGACATGGTCCCAGTGGTCATATAAAAACCTATGTAGAGCGACACAGGAGCCAAACTCATAGGTTTCGCCGTCTGCTGGACGTGGATCAAGGACAGGTGGAGGTACCTGTACAGTAGCGTTATTAGCAGGAGTGGGAATAGATAAGGAGCTTAGTAATTCTTACCGAGATCTCTCTGAGAAAGGTGGTGACACGATAAATGTTCTGCGTCAAAAAATCGTTTAGAGGATACATATATGGCTCCTTTGCTCCGAACAAGACGTTATTTGCTAGATTCTGTATCACTTTTGCGATTAGGAGTAGACCACGTCGCATTTCCTTGGACGGTGGCGTGGCTACTAAGTTCTCTGCTTCAGGGGCGACGATGGCAGGGCAGAAGAATCTTAGAAATATGAAGGCTCCAACGGCTGTATATTTGGCCTCTTGGAATCTAGGCATCACTGCTGAAGATATCTATCTAAATGTTAATAGCGGTAACTTATGCATATCGACAAGAGTCAACTTACTATGCTACAGATCTTCCTAAATGATGAAGGAATACTGGTGGAGGATGCGCAAATATCGTCAATAAAAACTTTGGCGACGATGCGCAGCTGTAGCGCATTCTTTTGGAGTTCTTCTTGGGATGAAATTCTTGCTGGATCAAGCTCGAGGTCCAAGTCCTTTGAAGTTAACATTAACCTCTCCACGACTTTTTGGAGTGTAGCTTTGAGATAGTTCGCCCCTTTCCACCTCGCGTAGATAGAGAGCATCTTGGTGGCGACACAATTTCGACGGAGTATCTCAGACTCATTCTCTAAATGAATAATTAGCTTGGATATTTAGGACGACAGCGCTTGACTAACCTGTATCTTCAATCTCCTGTTTAATTAATGCTTCCATAAGTTCAAAAATGCGCCCGCGAGAT